AAAATATGTAATGTTCTCTTATGTGAATAGACTAGAATCCTGCAAAAAATTTTAATCATTATATGTTAAAATTTATTAAAGTGCATAAAATATTCTTTATGGATAATTTATGCATGAGAGCTAGAATAAAAAAAAATCGCTTTTTTATATTTTTTTCTTCTTCTTTTGGAATCATTGTTTGAGCGCTTGGAGAGAGTTGGGGTTCGAAGTATTCTTCAAAACGGGCCTTTGAATTACATGACTCCGAGCCTTATAGAAAGTTGACGATCCACTATATGTGGTCAACGATTTGATTCAACTCGAGCTTTTTAATTATTTTCTATTCTTATGTGCGTAAGTTTGATAATATATCATTTACGTGCTTATTCTATGTGTAATGTTTGACTTGTGTTTGTTCTCTTTTTTTTTGTTTCGGATTTTTGGTGGTGTTTCATGGGTTTCTTAAGTTGGAAAAGTTGATTATCTTTTGAGCTTTTCCCCCCATTTTATCAAAAAACCTAAAAAAAAAGAATATTTATTTTTATTCAATCCCCCGCCCCCTCGTTTTTTATGTTATAGTATTAGTTTTTATTTACTAAGTTTATATATAAGTGTTTGTTTATAAGTTATAAATATAAGTTTTTTTCTACTTTATTGTTTTAGTATATTTTAAGTATTTGTTATGTGTTTATAATTTATATTATAAGTTCTTTGTTTATAAAAGTTATATTTATAAGTTTTTATATTTATTCAATTATAAGTTGTATAAGTTCTAATCATAGGTCTAGTTGTTAGTTTTATTTTTATTTTATTTCGTGACAATGTGTGTGTATGCTAAATTATGTTTTAGGAAAGTATAAACTTTCTCTGTGAAATCGACCTTTACTTGCCCTAGTTATATTTTTATTTTATTATATTGTTAAATATATCAATTATTTAATATATTTAATATATTTAATATTATATATTATAATTATGGTTGTTAGCTATTATAGTTAGAGTTATTATTATATAATATTACCTTATATAAATTATTAGTCATTAATGTGGAGAATTCTAGAATATATTCCTCCACCTATAAATACATACTTTGTATTGCTCTCTTATTTCATTCAATCAATAAAGCGTTTTTTATTATTTTTACATGGTATCAGATCCTTTCGCTCTCAGTGACCTAATACATCCCGCTTCCTTCACCGCCGCCGTTGGTGATTTATCCGGCGACGGTGGCCTCACTCCTAGTTGTCCCTCCAATAATGATCTACCATACTCCTCCATCCGGCTCCGAATCCATCACCACCGCTTCCTGATTTTAGATCATATCATCACCTCAACTTGCTTAGTCGGTAGATCTTTGGTCAACATGCATCTCCGGCAGTACCTACCTCATCCCTTGTTGTTTCTTCTCTAACCCAGTCGCGCACGTCAATCTTCTCCCTTCTTCGACATTAGCGGCATGAGTCTGCCTGCAACGGCTCTTCTCTCATCCTCCTCGAAGCAGGCACATTTCTTTCCCGACAATCTTTCTACTTCTCTTATGGTCCGAATGCATTCAATTTGCTCTAGTCGAAGATATGTCTCTAGTTTCTAATCACGACTCTGGTCATCATTCAATTTAAAGTTAGCGTTCAATCTTCACCGTTCAAGACGTTGGGAGCATGTTAAATATATCAATTATTTAATATATTTAATATATTTAATATTATATATTATAATTATGGTTGTTAGCTATTATAGTTAGAGTTATTATTATATAATATTACCTTATATAAATTATTAGTCATTAATGTGGAGAATTCTAGAATATATTCCTCCACCTATAAATACATACTTTGTATTCCTCTCTTATTTCATTCAATCAATAAAGCATTCTTTATTATTATTTTTTTTTTAAAAAAAACTTAGCATGGTATCAGAGCCTTGTTGACTAAGAGGTCACGGGTTCGAAACTCAGCGCCACCCAGTTTAAAAAATTTAAGGTTTCACGTGCAAGGCTCGAAAAAAAACTACGCCTGCACGTGAGGGGGCGTGTTAAAATATAAGTATCTGTTCCTGGGCCACAACCACAAGCTTAAGCTTTTGGTTGCCGTTCTCTGTGGCGTCCCATCCCTACCTCATTTTTCATCTACTTCTAATAGAAAATAATATTTCTTCATGGTATCAGAGCCTCGTCTCGGAGCCTAGCCTCGTAACCCCCGTCCCCAAAACCCAAGCGCCGCCTTCTCCATCTCGGCGCCGCCTCTCTCTCCCTGCTCAGCACCGCCCCTCTCTCGGTGTTGTCTCTCTCTCTCGCTGCCCGGCACACTGCCGCCAGCGCCCCTCCCCATCTCTGCCGATCTCCCTGCCTCCAGAGAGCTATCGGCGCTACCCCCTCCCTCTGCCGGCGCCGCCATGTCTGACAAAACATCAACCACCGGCGGATCTCCATCACAAACCACTCCACACTTGGCGTTCACAACTATATCTAACGTCAAGTTGCATGTCCCGGTTCTTCTCAGCTTCTCGGAACCGAACTACAAAAAATGGACCTGACTTTTTCTCCTATTGGTGCGGCGGTTCTCCTTGGCCGACTTTCTCAACGGCAAATCCATCCCCTCAAGCGCGGATGATGCGGAATGGTTCCAACTCGATGCCCTCCTCCAGGGTTGGATCCTCTCTACCGTGAATGATGAAGTCTCCGACTTGGTTATCTCTTCTACAAACTCGACATCGGAATTGTGGAAATCCATCTACTCTCTCTTCCATGATAACAAACCCGCGCGGGCGATGCAATTGGAACATCTCTTTCGCACCACCCACAAAGGCTCTCTCTCTGTTGCTACATATTGTCAAACCCTGAAGAACATCGCGGATTGGTTAGATGACGTCGATGCTCCCGTTTCAGAGCAGCAGCTTGTCCCCCAGGTGCTCAGAGGTCTGCCAGATGATTTTCGAGCTCAAACATCATTCTTGCAATTCCAAACACCGGCCCCGACTTTCCTACAGGTCCGCTCGGCCCTCCTCCTTATTGAACAGCAGCGGACCGACCTTGGCTCCAGCAGAGACACACCGGGCACGGTGCTCTACTCCGGCAGCAGCCCTGGACTCCTCGTCGGCACAAACAACAGCCGCGGTAGTGCCCGCGGCAGTGGCGGACAGAGTGGCAGTGGCGGCCCAGGCGCGTCGAACAACCGGCATCGTGGAGGACATCACCGAGGTCGTGGTCGAGGACGAAGCCCCGGATCTTATGCACGGCCCACCCAAGCTCAGCCCCCCTGGCAGTTCTCCCACCCCAACCGAAACCCCGGCCTACTCGGCCCCAGGCCGACCCACAACCCCTCGCCCCACGCCTACTTTGCCTCCCCCCATAGCCCGAACACCCAACCCCCATCCTACCCG